GAAACCCTAAAAATTAGCTTAGGTTTGGAATAAATTGAACTCCCACCATTCACTTTTACTTGGCATGTATAATAAAAATAGATTTTCATTTTTTCTTAACACTTTATACATATCAACTATCAAGAGAAGACAAAAAAAAAATTCTATTATACCCATAATATTTATTACTCATTTCAAATTATTTTCTCAAATCCAATAAAATATAGATAAATTAATATAAGTATCATGGTAAATTATGCACTTTATTATTATTTTTTAGGGGCATGAAAAGTCAAAACGTGCCAACTAAAAGTGAACGGAGAGAATAGTAATAGCGTTGAGAAAGACCAGACCATCCATTTAGTGTCTCGAACTCAAAAGAGAGGGGGAGATGATTTCTTTCCTTTTTTTTTATCAAGATTGGTTACTATTAGGACCCGACTTTTGAACATCGGGCGTGGCAAGGATTTGGGCGTGATGGACTTTCCATTGGCCTATGTGCGGGCAAAACAATCATGCGGACGACGGGCTGTGGTGAACAAGTATTGGCCAAGGCCTTGGCATGGGCAATGCGCGGTTGGCAAAGGCTTGGCGAGGCAGCATGGTTGAAGTTGGGCAGCATGGCACGGCATGCGCGCCAACGTGAGTAGCATGGGCAAAACGATCATGCGGCAAACGGGCTGTGGTGAACAAGTATTGACCAAGGCCTTGGAATGGGCAAGGCGCGGTTGGCGAAGGCTTGGCGAGGCAGCATGGTTGAAGTTGGGCAGCATGGCACGGCATGCGCGCCAACGAGAGTGGCATGGCACTTTTGGGTCGTGGCAGCGAGGTACGAGCTAAGATAAATCAAGACGGGAATGCGGGATGATGGCAAAGGCTTGCAATAGCTAAGGCAAGGCTATGTGAAGGAAAATACAAGCAATGGCATGAGGGAAATCAAGGTTGGCTCGGACAAGGCAGAAACCGGGCCAAGACAGTGCATGGGCGGCAGCAGCGCCGGGCGTGTGCGGCAGAATCGTGGCAGCGGATTGCGGGCAAGACATTGGCACGGGGCAATGTCAAATTGAGCTAAGGCTTGGCTCAAATCAAGCCTTGGGCAAAATCATGTTGGCCAAGGAAAAATGGCACATGCCATGCACATGGAAAGCGGTTGGCGGTTACCTTGTTTTTAGCCATGATCTCCCATGATCTCCCATTATCACATGATCTGATCATTGCTTGTATTAGGCCCCATTTCGTGTATATTGTTGTCCTAAGTAGTTGGGGATGTCAACTACAAGTTAGGAACAGATTTAAACTAAGCTTGACAAGTGGCGGAAGCTGTAGACGACAAGTGTCATGTGCTGTCAAGTTTAAGGGCTGCCTATGTTTTATAAATAGGGCCTTTAACTTAGGCAGAAGGAGGAGTAGAATTTTGTGTAGAATTCTATGAGGGAAACTAGAAAGAAACATGAGGGTTTCTAAGAGTTTCAAAAGGGGCTAAGGTTTGGCATGGGCGAACCTTAGTGTGGGCCAAAGAACGACTTGTGTTCTTCGTCCAAAGTGTGCTGTGAGCGGACCGATAGTTCATAGCGAGTGTCCTTTGTATATTTTCAGAATTAATGCAAAGATTGGGATTTTTCCTGTATATGCTTGTGTTCGATTTGAATTGCTGTCTAAAATTCGTTTAAGGCCAAACTTGCTGAAAATTGGCAAAGTGTTTCGGAAAGGTTGAGTCAAGTGCGGAGCTTGACAGCCGCGCGGGTGTGGTTTTTGGACTGGTCAAAAACGCCCCCGTGACAACTGGTATCAGAGCGGAGCAGGTTTGTGACAGTGGCAAAACGATCCGGTGGCAGAATTCGTGGGGAAGAACAAAGCTGGTGGCACAAACTGCGTCAAAAGGTGAGCAGTTGGAAGCACTCGTTTGGGCAGGTCTTGATGTGGAAGGCAATTCTTTTGTTCTTGTTGGAATGACACATTTGGAGGCAGAATGTGCGGCGAGACATGAAAAAACGCCGGTAGAATTGGCTTTGGTGCGCATAGAGAAGGAAGTTACGCGAGGAAGTGGTTCAACTTCGAAGGGCATGGCAAACTGCTGCCCCTAGAGGTGATAACGCACTAAGTCGAGGATTCCGGAGCCAAAGGCAGTGCGGAGTACGAGAGGTGCCAAAATACCGGAAAATCAGTGGGATATGAATGGGGCACAAGGGGCGCTGTATGTTAACAACTCCTTGGTGTTAATTCATGAAGACGGCTCGATGAGGACGTCGATTTCAGAGGGTGCGTGTGGTTTGTTAGGACCCGACTTTTGAACATCGGGCGTGGCACGGCTGTGGCAAGCATTTGGGCGTGATGGCCTTTCCATTGGCCTATGTACGGGCAAAACGATCATACGGACAACGGGCTGCGGTGAAAAAGTATTGGCCAAGGCCTTGGCATGGGCAAGTCGCGGTTGGCAAAGGCTTGGCGAGGCAGCATGGTTGAAGTTGGGCAGCATGGCACGACATGCACGCCAACGTGAGTAGCATGGGCAAAACGATCATGCGGGCAAACGGGCTGTGGTGAACAAGTATTGGCCAAGGCCTTGGCATGGGCAAGGCGCAGTTGTCTTTCCAAGTGCAAAATCAAATTCAAATGGGTCTAACCGTCTAAAAAAGGAATTAAGCGAGGTGAGAACGTAGAACTTGTGGAAAGTTTATAAAACTTAACACACACACACTGCCTCTATTCTCTCTATGAAAGTCTCTTTATTTGACTTTGAAATTTCGATTTGAAGTGGAAAATTGAAATTTAATGCTCTCTTACTGAAATCGAGTAAGAAGACAATTGTTTGAGCTTAAACATTGAGAATATTTACTGTTGGTCGAGAATTTGAAGAAAAACACAAATGGGTGTTGTGATTTGTTGGAGTTTGAGTCAAAATTGATACTCTGATTTGTTCAGATCGTTGTGGAATTATAGTTACATTATTAGTCTAATTTGATCATATTTGCAGAGGTTGGTGAAATTTTCGAAGGCAAAATTGATGGGTCTACTGAAGCTTCTGATTGACTGCCTCATGGTCGATTATCAACCAGTGGCCGCTCAATTGATCTCTTTCTTAATTGGTAACTAATCGTTGGCTGTTAATAAATAGGTATACTTAATATGATGATTAATAAAAATACATAATCGATGTTACGAAGGCTAGACTATCTTGTACTAGAATCCTAAAAAAACAAAGTTAAGCATAATCACACTAATGGTTAAAGCATTCACCCTAAACTTTAGCAGAATCATTATTTGTAGGATTAGCTTCTCTAGGTTTGGGTGGGGTGGGGGGTATCTCTTTACTACAGTGGTGCCCCCCGCATCTCTACATCTACTCCACCATTTTCTTCCTCAACTTGTTCCTGGGCTGGTTCTTGCTCCTCTTTTGCCGGGGTGTTGTTATCCTTACTTTTGCCCCAGAGAATAGTGTAAAGCCCCAGCACATTTACTGTAGCACCAAGTATCCTGTCAAAAAAAAAGTATATTTGTTAAGTTTTGGTTGCAACTCTTATATGAGTTATAGGGTTAATATACTACCTTCCAAGGTTCAATTGTTCATGAAGAAGCAATGCACTGGCTATAGCCGCCAAAACCATATTTAAAGGGTTGAAGGCTATCAAGAAAACAGGACCCTTGTACTTTATTACGAACCCTTGTATATAATAAGGAATTCCTGAACAACATACCCCCTGAATTGTGACATGGAAAGTAACGAGTTTTTAATAGATTAATATGCAGAGGCAAAGTATTTTTTATAAAGTTGTTACGAAACATTAATATTTAAACTTGCTTACATTGTATAAGACCGCACCCAGCTTTGAATCCAAATGGATTCTCCGCACTGCAGTATTACTTCTTTCTACCACAGCTGCAACCATGCCTCCCTCAATTGTTCCAATAAAGTATATCCATGTTGTGAGGGAGAGCTCGGCAGGATAAACCCGTGATGTGGTTGACTAGGCATAGAATAATATTAGAGTCAATTCTTTTGCTTATTACTAATAAATTATCTTTAACTAAGTTTTATATTTACCAGGAAAATGATGAAGCCAGAGGAACTCAAGTACCCAAACATTAGTATGATGGAACCTCTAATGAAATGAGTTGAGTTTGGGCTTATCCCATTTCCACCACTCTGAGAGGCATGATTTGGCTTTTCTTCCGCCCAAAGTTGGAATACATGGCCATTTACTAGAACCATTATGAGTACGCCACCAAATATGACAACGGTGCCAATTAGTTTGGCCATGCTGCAGAGATTTTTAAGATTTTTGTACTCAAGCCTGAATATTTTTAATACCCTCAACCTGAGTATCTCTCCTAACAACCAGTCTAGCTTTATACCTTTCAATACTCCCATCAGCCTTTAGTTTGACCTTATACACCCACTTGCAACCAATGGGTTTCTTGCCAGGAGGAAGTTCAACAATGGACCAAGTGCCATTAGCTTCAAAGGCTTCAAACTCTTTGGTCATGGCTTCCTGCCATTCAGGTATACCAACAGCCTGAGAATAAATGGCAGGTTCAGCCAAAGGTTGAGAGGAAGCTTAAAGGGAGGAAGAAAGACAAGAAAAGGGAAGAGAACAAACATAATTCTTCAGATAAGAGGGAGGAATATGAGTCCTGGAGGACTTCCTGACAGGAGCAACATCAGGAAAAGAGGAGACATGGGAATCAGAAGCAGGCAAAGGGGATGAGGTAAAAGGAACAGTGGAAGAAGAAAGAGACGAAGGAGAAGAAGTAGTACCAGGACAAGGATCAGGAGGGGAATCAGAAAAAAAAGAGGGAGAAGAAGTAAACACAGAAGGAAAAGATGGAGAATCAGAAGAAAAAGGGAAGATATGTTCATGAAACTGAACATCTCTTGAAACAAAACAAGACATAGAAACAAGATTGTACAATTTGTAGCCGTTCTTAGCAAAGGGATACCCCAGAAATATACAGGGAACAGACCTGGGATCAAACTTGTCCGTAAGAACTTTAAGAACACAAATCTTAAAAATCTCTGCAGCATGGCCAAACTAATTGGCACCATTGTCACATTTGGTGGTGTACTCATAATAGTTCTAGTACATGGCCATGTAAAACTTTGGGCAGAAGAAAAGCCAAATCATGCCTCTGAGAGTGGTGGGAATGGGATAAGCCCAAACTCAACTCATTTCATTAGAGGTTCCATCATACTAATGTTTGGGTACTTGAGTTCCTCTGGCTTCATCTTTATGCTGGTAAATATAAAACTTAGTTAAAGATAATTCATTAGGAATAAGAAAAAAAATTGAGCTAATATTGTTCTATGCCTAGTCAACCACATCACGGGTTTATCCTGCCGAGCTCTCCCTCACAGCATGGATATGCTTTATTGGAACAATTGAGGGAGGCATGGTTGCAGCTGTGGTAGAAAGAAGTAATACTGCAGTGGGGAGAATCCATTTGGATTCAAAGCTTGGTGCGGTCTTATACAGTGTAATCAAGTTTAAATATTAATATGTCGTAACAACTTTATAAAAAATACTTTGCCTCTACATATTAATCTATTAAAAACTCGTTACTTTTCATGTCACAATTCAGGGGGTATGTTGTTCAGGACTTGCTTATTATATGCAAGGGTTCGTAATAAAGTACAAGGGTCCTATTTTCTTGACAGCCTTCAACCCTTTAAACATAGTTTTGGCGGCTATAGCCAGTACATTGCTTCTTCATGAACAATGTAACCTTGGAAGGTAGTATATTAACCCTATAACTCATATAAGAGTTGCAACCAAAACTTAACAAATATACTTTTTTTTGGCAGTATACTTGGTGCTACAATAATTGTGTTGAGGCTTTACACTGTTCTCTGGGGCAAAAGTAAAGATAACAACACCCCGGAAAAAGAGGAACAAGAACCAGCCCAGGAACAAGTTGAGGAAGAAAATGGTGTAGTAGATGTAGAGATATGCGTGGGGGGGGGG